GTGCGATCTCCTCTTAGTTCTTGGCGTGCAGGGCGTGAAGGTCTTTCTCCACTTCGTGCCGTCGTAGATCTTGGCCTCCGCCCTATCTCGTGTGATCGCCTTCAAATTCTCGGCGTGAAGGACGCGGAGGTCTTTCTCCACTTCGCCCTTCCATCGGTAACCGATTTTCGACATTAGGACGTCTCATGTAAACCCGTTTCACCGCCTTTCCTTTTATTTAAAACGAAATATGTATATGTATACCTAAATTACTGCGATGTGAAATAAGTGGTTCAGTGACTCGCACGAAATCACAGCTGATGTTATGGAATTACTTTGTAAACGTAGTCCGATCGTATAGATCTTTCTGGAAGCCGACTCTTTGCACATGTGAACTAGGCTAGTTCATCAATATTTGTTAAAGATCATCCTGTTACAATGCCGTTTGAGCACATTCTCGAATGCACACGCGCTAAGTTTTATTCGCAATGATGCATTGTCTTGAGCGGTGATACGTGAAATGCTTGCATAGTGATTCCGATGAATTCAGTCGAGTGGAGAATTGTTTATACTCTTTAGTGCGTTTTTGTGACTGTTGAAAAAATTTCTTAGGTTTTCGCGGATGTTAAACATTGGACAATACAAAAAATTTTCGGATCTACTGATGTAATGTGATCATTACTATGTTCCGGTTTTGAAGGGTAAGGATGCTGGTGAAGTTACAGGCACATGGAATTTGTGTTTTCGGCTGACGAGCGCAGTGGCAGTGGCCCTCAGATTTTTGCGATTTAAAGCACTGCAGCTGTTATGGGCAAGCGTGTCGTTTACCATCAGGCGCGCACGATATGTTCGTCCCGTCACTGAGTATCATAAAAAAACATAACTGGTGATGGTGATGACTAATACGATCTCAACTATTGACCATGTTACCTGTAAAAGGTTCAACTTCTAATGGCAAATCCTTTCATTTTGAAGGAACACACAATTTAATATTGGAATCCTGATTTGGCTCCGCAGAGTCCAACCTTGAATAGACGTCGTTAGTGCAAAGGCAAAAAGCTTAAAGCGCCATATAGGGTACATTATAAAGCGACGAAAAAGTGGCGAAATACCGGATTATTAAAGTTCCAAAAAATTGCTCCGAGCGCTACGAAACTTTAACAGATTGATGCAGAATATAAATCAATCCAAACAAAAAAAAAACAAAAATCCAAACCAATTTAAAATAAGACTCATTTTCGCTCTTATATTAGTCACAGATACATTCCTCTATGTTTAAACATGTGAAAATTCACATATAGTGTCGATATAAATTTACCTAGTATTTTTCATATTTGTGGTGATATTTGAGGAAAGTAAGCCGACGTAAAAGGTGTACAGCAAATGCAAGTCTATTTCGTTCAAATAAGTCGCAGAATACATTTCTTAAACAGGCATAAGGACTCTGTATTATATGCACCGTTCCCTACTGATGTGTGTAATACTTCTCTGTTCTTAATCTGCTTTTACTTAGTGTCGGATATCTTTCCCCTTAGACGTATCTTTAACACCAAGGGCCTTGATCCCATTGTAACGTGTGAATTTTTTTTTTCATAGGAGGTGGGAGATCGGTAACCTAGTACGAACTCCAGTTCGCTTAAAGTTTTTAGATTGGGTTAACCAAGAAGTGTTTGAGGTGCCAAAGTATAAATATCAAACTTCAACTAATTATGTCTTGCCCATGTCGATTTACAATCAATCTTTTCCCATCTTTCGGGTAATTTTAGAATTTCGCTTTTACATAAATTCCTTTTTTTATAAAATGCAAGTGTAAGGTCGTTTGATAGTCTCTACATTATCAAAATCGGCTGAAATAAATGAAAATTTGAAGGTGTTATTTCGGGAAAAAACGGTGGACGAGTTTACACATTCCAATCTAACTGCAATAGTTTTTAATGGCTTTGTAAAGATAAATAAATTTAAATAAATAAAGATAAATTTATTTCAGCATAACTTAATCTAAATATAAGTAAAAAAACAAAAACAAATGTAAGGGAAGCTAATATACAATTGGTAACAAAAGTAATAAAAAATAAACCTTAATTATTATACTAATCATAAAGCTATACAATTAATTATTAGAAGCCTACCAGTATAGTTGCGATGCCTAAACTAAGTACATTATTACCTGTATCTTAAGCATCTTGTTTGTGCACAGATTCATTATATTAGTGCTTAAAAACAAAATAGCTATATTTAATTAGGAATAAAAAAAGATGTGTATGGTTTGGCTTTAGCGTGATTACATACGACGTTGTTTCACTTAGAATGCGCGGTAAGATATTATTTATAAAATAACCGTAGGCAATAATACAACATTTTAAAAGAAAAAAGTTTTTTTTTGTTTAAAGTGGTGGCAAAAACCGCACGTAGTTTTTGGCTAACCCAACATGTACTCGATATCAAAGTGTTTTAAATAAAAGCTTACTTTTGTGAGACTGAATAAATATTATTATTATTATTGTTATTTATTTTTTCGCGTCATCAATTTACACGCCTGGAAATTTGGAATGTTCGCCGAGTATGTTCTATGTAATGTTTACCTATTTTTATTATTTTTTCTATCAGACGAGTCTTCGGCTACAGCACGCTCCTAGCCAGCCTCCTCACGCTGTTGACTCCCGGCTCAGCAGCCGCCGGCTTCGGCTGGGCTGTCGCTGTGAGGATGTTCCTGGGCTTCTGTCTTGGGGCCACATGGCCTGCAATTCTGCCCATGGCTTCGAAATGGATTCCGCCTATGGACAGATCCAAGTTCATGTCAAACATGATGGGTAAGTTTAGATGTATTACTGTTTTGAGGTTATTTGTTGTATCTTGACTTTTTTAATGTAAAATAGCAGCACGTTTGACTGACGATGGACAAGTCCATTTGCTCTAGCCCAGAGATCGGGTTTTAACCCGGCGCTTTGTTTTTGCCGGGTTTAAATCGGGTTAATTAATACCCATTATTGCCCGAAATCGAGGGCAAAATCTATTTACTGCTAAATATTTGTTGTCGATAGAGTTTCGTTCTAATTTAATGATAAAAATGCTTTCTGATCTAGACGATTCGATTTGCCTTTCCATTGAATTGGTTCGCTCTCTTTCTATTGAAAATCGCATTAAAATAAATCGATCCAAAAAATCGTTAGGCCGAATGGAATGCCATGGAATGGTTTTGGTACACACCGAAACGTAATGTGCATCCTTCGTAGTATTGTGAGGAGTTGCCTCTTTTTCATCTAGAAAAAGTTTTTTTATGTCGAAATTTGTAATAAGTATGGAATTATACCAAATTCCGTATTCGCCGTTTCTGCCCGTGATTTTCGGAAGAAATGTGCGGGTTTGTGTTTTACTCACTGCCCATCTCTGGTCTAGCCTTAAATAGCCCCAAATTTACGTTTCGAGAAACAGATGGCATTATATCTGTCCTCCTTGTCGTAACTAACGCATTTGCATTTTGACCGACTTTAAAAAAGGAGGAGGTTCTCACGACTGTATATTTTCCTTTTTTGTATGTATGTTACGCGATAACTCTTTTTTTGTGAACCGATTTTGATGATTCTTTTTTTGTTGGAAAGAGAGTGGTCCCATTTAAATTTGAAGAAAATATTCCATATAGGAAATTAAACAATTTTTCCGGATTTAAATCGCGTATATTTGTTTTTTTTTTTTTCAAATAAACCGTAAATATTCTAGCTCTAAGGGTGGCAAACTAGGGGATCAATGACTTTTGAGGTTCGGTTTTTGGAATTTTCGACATATTGGCATGACACGTAAAGATTTTTTTCTTTTTTTTTCTATGCTTTTTTTTTCTTTCCGGATTTAAATCGCGTATATTTGTTTTGATTTTTCCGTTTTTTGTTTTTTTATAGACGAGATATTTATAAAAAAATCGCTTATAGGGGTTGTAGAACGTTTCGCAGATTCCAGACGTGTCAATAACTGAATTTCACTAAAAATGTGGAATACGTTAGCTATGATAAAGATGGCAGTATTATATTCCATTCCTTTGCTGTGTGCATTAGAAAAGGGGAAGAAAAGAACTTCGTGCGCAAGGGTGGTATTTCAAAGACACAAAGAGTAGTGTGTGTTCCCGACTTTCTAATCGACCGAAAGAGGCACGATGAGGTTGGAATTAATGTAAATTTCTTGCACACGCTCTCGTGTTGTTTGTTGACATGTTCCCGTTTTACAATTATAATCAATGTGCCAACGTAGTATTTTGATGTAATTGATTTATTGGCTTTATCAATAAAGTGATTCCATTAGTGCGTATGTAGTGCCTTGGTAATTGATTGTATAAGGAATGCAAAAGTAGGTAACTATCTACTTACAAAACAACCACAATTTCAAATACATAATGTGTTATCGAGTTTTTAGGTTTTCGCGATTGTTACGCATAGGAAATGAAACTATTTTTAACTGACTTCAAAAAAGTAAGTCATCACTACCTCTTACACAAATTACTACACATAAAGTCTTTCTTTTGTATGTAAGCAAATTATACTTAAAGTCGTCAAGGTTGCCCTGAGAAATGTGAATGAGAAACTCAGAAGTTGCTCTTTGTAAACAGATATTTGTTATGTAAATATCATTGAGAAACTAATACCTGAAAAAGCTAAACGGATCACACCCAATTTATCTATCATCCAAGTACGCAGTTGTAAATTGTATAGCTTTTTGTATGAAGTTTTTGTTTCACAACTTGAAAATCAATTTTGTTTTTGTCTCCCACTTACGGTCACATGACAAAAACAAAGAAGTGGTCAGACTGAAGTCAATTACAATAAACGACCTATCCGACAGACCGCGGTCGCGGCGCAAATATCCGAATTGTTTATTATGATGCAAATGCCTTAACGACGTGACGTCTGCTCGCAGAATTGCCTATCTATTGAACTGTTAAGCGGCCAATTGGTATAATTGATATAATAAGTTGTACGATCTCGCCATTGCCTTGACCGCACTTGGGCTCGTCATTAGTATGTGTTATCGGAAGATACTACGTAGCGTCCAATTGTTATCGTGTTTGCGTTTGAAAGCGGCACAGTATGGCGGCGGAGGCGCGCGCAGGCGTGGTCGCTGACGTCAGAGCCGTCGCGCCCGGGGATTGGCCCGCTTAGGTTGACCGCGCGAATTAACCTTGCGCAACGGTTGCTATGCAATGCGTGCGCACGGCTGAAGTTCCGAGAACTATGGCGAAGGGTTATTTTTATGCGGTCGCGGTGGTCACGTGGTCGTGTGGGCTCGCCAGCAAGGTTATGACATGAGCAAGCTATTCCTGCTCAGACGGCTTACGAAATAAAAACGCCCCCGTGAGACGTCGCGCGAGAGCGTCTAAAAGAGAAAGTCTATACGTACATCCAGGCCTGTTGTTGATCAAACCTACGCAGTAAATAAAGAAAATTATAATTCTAAGTTATAAATGTGACGGAAAAAGTTTTATTAAATTTATTATTTTAGATTTAAAAAAGGAGTACAATTTTCTTAGCTAAACATATCCTACAAAACGGTATTATACAGTTTGACTGCAGGATCGAGACGAGTATCAATTGAAAGAATAAAATAATTTGCGAAATTATATTACTTATAAACTTTGCAAATAATTTACATATTTTAAATAACTCGTAAGTGTAACTTGAAGAATTTAGTACATGCACTGTAGACAACGTCACCGGATATTATTTTCTGTGACTAACATGTGGTCTACAGAAGGTGGTTATAATACCTGTCTGTTTCATAAATTGAGGTTAACAGATAAGTGTCTATTTGCTAACGTAATACTAACCTTATATTTTATATTATTACAGTTCTACTTTTCAAATCTGCCTAACATTATACAGAGTGTATTTTTATTGCAGTAAATTTTCTGCTGGTACTCATGGTGAATATTTTACATTTCCTAGTCATTGTACATACTTATCGTTTTTGCTCTGTTTTGTGTATTTGCTAATATTTTTAGTATGGTTTTAACTATTATGGCAGAATATCAGGGAGAGCTATTCTTGTCTGTAGTAGCTGAGATGTGAGCCCATTTAATGCGTTTGTTTTGTCGTTAATTCGTATTATATTTTTGTTTATCAGTAGGGCTAGCATGACAGGGCGCGAGTTGCGCGAGAGGGATATAAAGTGCGGAATCTTTATGCGAGAATAGCAGCATCTCGCGCTTTATGTCGCTCTACTGGTTAGGTAGACCCATAAATACATATCTTGTAGTTAACATACATAATAATATAAGAAAACACTAATTAACTGTTCACACATAATGATTGCGACGTGTCACGCAACTCAGGTGTTCTGTAACTGGCCTCGAAAACATCGTAACATGACACCATTCGGCCAAAACTCCTCCTGAAGGGCGACAGATGTTCTGTTTGTATTTTGGCCACAAATGAAATTCACATTATGGCGAGAATTTTTGTTGTGCTACATGTCGAACAAAGTAGTTTTAAAGCAACTCAAAAAAGTAAATTCGCGTAATATCAGTTGGTTTCCCTTACAAAATGTGTGTGGTTATTTGGAAATAATTTGTGCGACATGGCACAATATTTTTCGCGAAATTGACTTCGTAGCACGGTTACAAATTTCGCTAAATAATTAATAGTTACCCTGTATAAGGGTCCCCTCCATGATGCAATTGAATCACAAATCATAGTGAACGAAAACAAAAACATCGACGTAGTTTTCTATAAAGACCTCATTCATACAAGAAGTTTAATAAATTAACATAAATGGTTAATTCACAATACAATAACAGTTCTGTATTCTTTATCAATTATTAATGCTTTGCATGCGCTGTTATGATAATCCGTTATGTATGATTTGTAAGCACTGTTTAGGTCAAAGAGAACATAATGTCTTTCTACTCTGTTCGATCGGATTCTGGAGAGATAACACTGAGCGCGAACGATTGCGTCGCGTTCCACACAAATGCAGTTTGTTCCTATTTATAGTATGAGTCACAATTAAATGTCCAAAGTGTAAACAAAGAAATGTCATTGTCAAAGGGTGAATGCAAGTGTGCTAAACCTTCTATTTCTAACGGAATTGGAAAAGTAGGAGGTTCTCGTTTTCTACAATTTTAATTATCTGTTACAAAATGTCACCAGTAATCTAACAAACTCACTACGAAAACAAAAAAAAAAATTGAATTCGAGAAATGAAGTAAGAAGTACATAATTGTGTCGATCATTATAAAAGTGGTGTAAGTCCATATCTTAAAACCCATATTTCTTGCTTAAAGGTATCACATTTAGTCACATATTTCATTAATCATTATAAAAGTGAAGCAACTCCAATAATTGCTCCACTAATTAATCTATAGATGGCATTACTAGTTTACTCAGAGAAATAAAATTACTACATTAATTTGCTAAAAGATTATTATTTCAAAATTTAATTACAAGCACATAATTCACTTTTACAATGAACGACACAAGTGTGACACAATAAAATCAGCACAAAAAATGTTTTTGATCCCGATTGTCTCATACCAGTCTAATAAAATTATTTACGATCTTAAACAATCTTTTATTATAATTATTGTATTAAACGAAATTAAGTAAAACTATGTATTACAAAATGTGAATTGTGCAAGTTTTGCCAGATTGCAGCTTGAAAAGAGATCTAAATCGTCTAAAATAGGAAACTACCATTTAAAATGTATTTTTTGCTCTGTTAACCCCTTTGTTTATAATACAAAAAAATTCCAAATTCAAAATAATCTTTATTTCATAGGTAAGCATTATTACACTTGAAATCGTCACAATGGTTAAACTCTACCGCTCAT